CTTGTGTTCGATGCCCTTGGAATACTCTAAAGAAAAGTGCTACAGCGGTATCCGTGCGCTTGCGGATTTATCTGTGTGTGCAACAAATACCAACAGTATTGACAATTGTAGCAGTTGGAATTGTAGGTAATACCCTTTAACCGTCATTGAGAACAAATTGGGAGCTGCTACATGGAAGATGGTGGTTAGAGGCGCCAGGAGTGGTTCGGCCAAACAACCTCCACCGCCTCTGGCCACCGACTTTCTTCGGTCTCTGACAGGTGGGCCCCTATGGCGGTTGAGGATGGTTTGGCCCCAGTTTAGGTCAGTTTTGACTGTCAAGTGGGCCCTCCAATTTTGTAGTCGCACTTGATTGGTTAGAGATTCATTTTGTCACATGGCAGGTGCATTTTCTCCTTAAATGACCTGCATACATATTTCTACCAAAGCTAGTGGAAATGATTAGTAGTAAACCTGTACCGCTAAGTTTTGATATAATATTTTAGTTCTTATATATATGCAGGAGTTGATAGTTAAATTTCGTATTTATCGACCGTCAACAGCAGCGCCGGATCCACCCGCAGCGATGCCCGCAACGTCGGCTTAAGCCTGAGCAGCCGTTCCCATCGCTGCCCCTCTGGTCATCGCGGGCGTTCAAGTCACCGCCATCACCACGGCCACTCCTATCATCAGCTGGTGGAAGATGGGCGTGAGGAAGAGGTTTTTTAAGAGAGGAGAGAAGAAAGATTTACTGTGTGCACCTCAAAAATCTTTTTACATATTGGTCTTCTTTTAAAGCATGATGATGTAAGCGAAAAAGGTTTTGCACGGTGCTTTTTTTTTTTTTTTTGCAAAACAGTGCGTACAGCAAGTCACGTGGGCGGCACATTGACGTTGGTATCCCGGTCCAGAAGGTGTCAGTGACTGGAGAAGCGGTCGGGCCCAATGGGCGCAGCTGGCTACCGAGCCCACCACGCATCTCTATCTCATCTTCTTTTTGTTGGTCTCCAAATAGCCGGCTTTTCAGACCCACAGAAGAGAGGGACAGGAAGGTAAATTTGCACTTCTAGGGTTTCTGCTATTTAATGGGACCGTACCTTCTCCGTCCATGGCAGCGGCATCGCTGCGTGCGAGCTTAGCTAGATCTGTTGCTCTCTACAAAGCACGCACGTAGGTATAGCTAATTAAACCTTATTATTAGCTACTAAGGTTATGTATGTAGGGGCTCATGATCTCTGTCTCTTCTTTGGATATTTTGTGTTGTTTAATTCCACAGGCTCAGATCGATCATGCATGCTTGCTTCCTTCCTTTCATGGCGGATTGGTTCATCAGAGAGGGGTGATGTCGGACGCACACGCCGTGGCACAACCTGTGCGAGCTCTCTCTGTGTCGATCTGTATGAGTGTGGGGTACATGCATATACTACACACGGACGAAGAGAGAGATTGGTCGTGCCACGCTGTGTGCGTTCGATGCACCCTCTCTATAGCTATAGCTTTTCGCATGAGTGATATGAGCATGCAAGCATGCATGATTTGCTTTATGTTTCTCCTGGCAAGGAATCAACGAAGGTATAATTAATATAGCTCATGTGCACACACCATATCTAATCAGTAAATCACAGGTCATCTCGATCTCTAGATATCGTCAGTTTTTTATCTGTGCATAAGAATTTTGTCGCTGCTTCCTATAGCTTCTGAATACATATATCGCATGCAGATTCCAACCCGCTGCAGTTTGGAGACCGAGTATTTCCAATTGGAGAGTATACGAATATACGATCTATCGATCGGTGACAATTCAAGCTTCCGACGATCGAGCTATAGATAGAAAGATTAATTATGGACACTAGCTTAGGTAGAGAGATCAAGTATGGCAACGACGCAAGCAAGGCAGCAGGCACCAAGGTAAATTAAGTTGACAGATGATGATTTGCTAGCTATATATATCATTTCTTAGGGTGTGTGCATAGTTAGCTAACTATTGTCGGTTTCAATCGACCTCTGCCATATATTTTCATACTAATCTATATTGGATACAATTAATTGTCCTTCAGTTTACATCATGCACAGAAGTTATAGTTATAGCTAGGTTGCATATGCACATATTGGAATATATTTCCTGATCATGAATAAACTCATCAAAAATTACCACATATCGATCTCTGGAAGATTTTCTCTACGTACGCATGCATGTTGGTTTTGATGGAGCTTTCTCTCGTCGGCAAATACCCCTTTCAAATCGAGACGTACTTCCATTAATTGTGAGGCTAGTCAGGGGATCTTCAAGCTGTGATCGATCCATCGATCGATCAATTCCATTGAATAAGACTACAAAAGTATGTTTTTTTTTCTGATCAGTTTTTTTTTCATGCTCTTATATACGTACTATACACATATGATATATGGAGGAAATATATCCTAGTATATGCCAAGTTGCCAACCCAGTTGTGGGCCAGGCCTGGATATGTTTGTTGGTATATATTTGGGCCGGTCTGGGGCGCAGTAGTATTGTAGTCTTTTTTCTTAAAAATGAAAATGGGAAATATACTATGTATAATCTTGTTTTACATTGCTCTGGTTCTCAAAATGATACTTGTGCTTATTACGTAGCTCGGGCGATTTTTCAGATTATGTTTTTCCTATATAGCTTCGAGCATATACTAGTACTTAAATTAGAGTATCTGCAGTAAGTTCCTTTTATGTACCACTTAGCTAGGATCTGCAAGTCTGCACATGTAGTTGACTGCTAGTACTATGTAAGTCTGCAGTTATTTGTCTCCGTCTAGGTCTTCTACTCAAAAAATATTCTATGTAGGTCCCAGCGATCTCCCTGATCGATCTAACTAGAGACTACTACATAACTAGGATTAAATGCTTGATTTAAATCTCTACATGCAATCAATATAAGGACTTAAAAATGTTGTATAATAATGAAATTAATTTAAACGATTAATAAATTAAGCTAATTCGCATGACTAATATAATTATGTTACTTTCACAATGGCAAATCTATATAATATGCATTAGCAGTACAAAAGGTGTGACGCATTTGCTAAAAGCAAAATATGGAAGTTTGGCTGTACATATTGCTCTTATATATATAGGCAACCATATATTTCTTAATGATGATAAATAACTACTACGTATCATCTTTTCATAAATATCAATATCAATGTTATCCGATCGAAGTGATCGGTGCAGGGTTTATCATCTTATGGCTAATAGTTTTGGGTTTTTAAGATTTCTCGTTTAGGATTCACGTACGTAGAACGTACTACTGCTACTCTCTCTCTCTCTCTCGTCTCGATCTCGATCTGAGAAGAATATGCATGCTCAACTTTTCCTTTAGAGAAACTTTTCTTCATTCGTGCTACTCCATATTGTAATTTCAGTGTTGTTTCCAGCTGCAAGATCCTCATAGCGTACCGAGGGAATTTCAATGGTTTTGCCTTGAAATAATTTTGACGAAAATATATATATCAACAACAAAAAAAATGTTGAATATGTTCATCATCGTATCATGGAGCAGTAGTGTGAGTAACCTCGAGCATCGGAACATAAGCATTTTGCTAACAAAAAACGATCGTTTGCATCACATATATATGAAACTGCAGCTAGCTTGCTAGCGCACTATTTGATTCAAGTCATTCAACTCATCAACTGCATGCATGGCAAATTAAGGGCGAAGTGCATGCACCTGTTAATATCCATTAATCAGAAAAAACAAATTAAGTTTATAGTTAATTATTATATACTATCTTAATTTCCTTTCCACAGCAAAAAAATGATTTTCCAAAATTATGATCCGTGCAACCAGCAAAAAGGAATAATTCAGTGCTGATTTGGGATATATAACTATCACCGGGCGATTTGCTTCGATATTAGATTAATTGTACTACTGCAATATGATCAGATCCACACATCGGCCCTGTATATATTATTATATATATAATTGTTTGCATTGCGCCGTATATGAGTGCTAGCTTTAGGTATATGAGTAGTAGATTAATAGATTTGCCCATTTTGCGTGCACCTGTAAACTTGTCCACGCACGTCAAATATTTTGCGCCGATATAAATGTATAGACGGAGACGGAGTTATCAGAAAAAAGAGGAAGACATATGTATAGAAGGCATACGTGATCGATCTCTGCATAGCACCGATATTTAGTTCAGGTTTGCTTCAGCTTAATATTATTATAATCTAGATTATTAAATCAGATTACTATAATCTAAATTATAATAAGCTGATATATAATAAGCTGCGAGTTGTTTGTTTCTTGGATTATAAGAGGCATCTAAGGGTGGTGGATCTTTAACCACTCAATAATTTAAAAAAAGCTCATCCAGAGAAAATTATTGGATTATACTAATCTAGCTTATAGATTATAATAATCTAGCATAATAATCTACTTGTTTGTTTTAACTTACTGCTAATAATCTAGATTATAATAATCCTAAGCTAAATCAAACGGGACCTAATTACGTTGGGAGTTAATTAAACTGTACTAGTAGCAATTTGCAGATAGGAACGCGTTTGCTCTTGACAATGATGATTTTGCAGATATATGCGCTGCCACAGATAGAGAGAGAGAGAGAGCGCGCGTCCACGCTAGGAGTTGACAGGTACGGCAACGACGACGATGCGTGTCAGATCAGGCCATCGATGTGTGGAGTACATGTGTGTGTGGTGGAGACAGCTGCGACACAGACAGACGGCACGTACAGGGCACGCATGCGCTTCGACGTGTGTCACGTACGACCTGAAATAGACAAGGGATAGTATTTGATTTGATGTAGCAAGCGGCCGCCTGCGGCGCCGATCGAGGCCACTTGCACGCAATGCAAGCAGCACTCACATCATCGTCGTCTTCCCTGGCGCGCGGGGTGTATTATTTGCTGCCGATGGTTTCTTTCTTTCTTTCTTTCTTTCTGAACCTGGTCTGTACGAATATTAGCCAAGAGATCTTCAGAGCATTATATAGTACAGTACTACAAATTAACAACACGAATACACGATACATGCAGGCAGGAGCGGTTCCTTTTTTTATTCACTAAAATGTTTTGTAATCTTAATGACGATGACATGGGAAAAACAAATGCGAATGAATTTTATCTATTAAGAAAACGAATTTGTTACATATGCATGCTAGCTTGTAATTTGCAAAAAAGAAAAATGTGTTTTTGCTAGGACACATATAATATATGTTTGGCCTAAAGATGATATATATGGTCGACCGTCTTGTGTAGCGGCGGCATCCGGTTTTGAACCACATCCCACGTTAATAATGCGTGCGGATACATGTCTGAAAAAAATAAAGAGGATAGTCGATTGTTAGTTAATTTGTTACTATATATTAAAAAGTAAGTGAAGAAGTAGTGTACGATCGAATATGCTTTGAGACAATGAGAAGATCTTGCATGCATGTCGCTTTCTCTGCACTGTGAAGTGCATACAGCTGGTTAATATGACATTTATCCTGCAAAAAAAAAAATCAGATCGAGTGTTAACACTTAGCACATACATATATACAAGGCGCCGTGCCGCGCTGAAAATCAAGGAAAAGAAGAACATCAAAACAATACAACATGCAAATCAGGAAAAAAAAATGGCAGTATCATTGACAGCTTGACAAGCATGTACATCACAAGAACCTTCCATGGTATATAGCGGCATAAATTATACTACTACTAAGTTTAAATTTCCACCAGCTTGACAAACATGCAAATTAGAACCCTTCACACCGGCGTAAATGACAAGTAATTTAGATTTCCTGACAAATTAAGAGCAAATAAAACATACCCCAGGTGAAAAACAAATACTTCATCACGACAATTTCTCCCCTAGCTCCTAGCTGGCTGCTAAATCCGCAGTATATCTCGATTTTTCGCACCCCAAAACAAAGCTATATATAATTAACTACACGTGGTTCATATAAAAGTGCACACACATACATACTTTCTATATGATCTATTGTTATAATTCATAACTCATCAACGTCGTAAAAAAATTAAGAAACATATGAAATATATATGATCAGACGTATCACACATCTAACAAACAAGCATGTGCCGTGCAAATGAAACAATAAATTGAACTTACTTAACGATCAAACTCGATGGAGCCTAATTGATGCACGAGCCAATGCATCGTCGCTATCCATCTTCACACGTACGTACGGAGTAATACATGATGTGTTTAAATCTCCTAGCGATATCGAAGTATCGCTCATCAGGGAGGGAAGGAAGGAAAGCATCCTTCGCAACCTGCACAATTTATATATGCGTGTGGGAAAGACGGATATGCATATGGACGCAGCGGACGTGTTGGGCTTTATATCACATGCATGCATACAAACGTACAAGTTCAGACTTCAGAGGCCGGTGCAGTGGCCGCCTGCAGTTTCCATCTTTTGTCGTTTTGATGCAAATTAAATTAATCGTTTTCAGCTCCTTCCTGAAGAGGATGAGCTGGAGAGTGTATAAAGAGATATCTGTGGCCGTGTATCTAGAAGGCAGTCGCGCTTGCATATATATATATATACCTGGCAACACTTGTCCAACGACTTGTTGATCTCTATCACTAGGATGCATGAGAAATTTAATGGAAGCTACCCATACCTGATGACAGTGGTAAAATTCAGGATAGAAATAGAGGATAGGCTTAACCTCAAAGTACTAATAAGTTAATAAAAACTATCTTTGAACTAGTTATTCAACATATACAGTACATGATTAAAAAAATAAACCATAAAGAAGAAGTACCTTGCCAATAAAAAGTAAGTGATTGCATATTTGTATCAACCAGACCTTGCCATCTAATGTCTTTGGAATAGCCAAGCTAGTAGCGCTCTATTTGGAGCCTTCAACAAATATGCCCTCCTTCATCTATGATTTGAGAACTATTTATTTGTATTCTTTGTGCAGATCAAGAAAATATATCATTCTTTTGGTTGATTTACGCTCTCATCAGTTGGAAGGGTGTTACTTAAATCACTTGCAAGATAATTTAACAATGTTGTCTCTTCTTCATATCGCTAATCTATGAGTAAATCAAAACTACAAAAAATGAGCTCAATTCTTGTAAATCCCATCATCTAGCTAACTGTTGCTGAAATAAAAAAAGAATGGAACATGAAGTGAGGACTCACTGCTTCGCACTTGCCGCTTACGCTGCTAGTTGATGCTGCTCGATCTGCTAGCAGCTACCTGCGCGCGCGGCGCGTCGCCGCCGGCCCACGCCACACCGCGCCGCCACTTGCGGCCTTGCGCATTTCTGCTCGTCTGCTCGCCGTTACCGCCGCACCACGCTGCCGCAAACACCACCGCAACGCCGCTGCCGGTCGCGCCGCTCTAGGTTTGGTGGCTAGCGTGATTGAGTCAGGGAGATGGAGGAGGAGATGGGCCATGAACTGAAGTGATGAATTGGACTGTGCCACGATTGGGCGTTTGGGCCTTTTTTTTGTTTTTGGAATAAGTCTATTCTTCCTCCCTCATCTCTTGTGCTCGCGTGAATAACATCCCTCAACCCGAAAACTGGGTATAACATATCCTTCATCTCTATAAAATAGAGCAAATGACCACCTTCGGTGGTTTGGCTGGCGGTTTCGTCCGACGTGGCATTGTTGACCTAGTTGACGAGCTAACTTAGCGTGGTGGTTGGAGATAAATACTCGTGTGTTCAGGCGAGCCAAATCCCCAACTACCCAACGGAACGCTAGCTCCATAAACAGCGGCGATGGCGAGGGCACAATCCACGGAGACGGTGAAGGTAGGAGTGGATTCGCGAACAAAGGTGGCGTGACGATGGCTAGTTTGCAGAGCGACGGGTCGTATCGACCTATTCCCAGCATTCATCGAGCACTCCCATCCCATCTAGGGTTGGTCCTCTTGATTACCAGTTGGCCGTGATGTGCAACTGCCGCGTTAAGGCTGCACGGTGGATCTCGTGGAGTGCGGACACCCCAGCCGTTGGTACTTGAAATGTCGCAATGCCCGGGTAAGTATTTTTGTTTGGTTGGGTAGGGTGGGTTGATTTTGGATTGGGGATTGAAATTTATGGCTAGGGATTGTAGGATGGTAGATGTGGTTTTTTTTGCTTGGTATGATGGGCCGACGACCACCTTTTTGAGAGAAGTGTTGAATGATTTGCGAGATGCAGTTTGGTCAGTGAGGAGGGAGAAGGAAGAACTTGTTTTGGCTATCCAAGAAGAGAGGTTGAGGAGAAGAGAACAGAGGTTGATGCTGCTCGGAAAGAGTTGGAGGCAGCAGGAAAGCTGTCATGTGACAATACAGAAAGAATTGTTGTGCTGAAGGACTGAACTAGTAGGCTAGAGAAGGAGAGATGTTATTTGTTAGTTGTTGTTATGGCTTGTGTATTTCTCATGTTTGCACTGGTGTTGACAAGGAGAAATGTGGGGTGAAGTATTTCCAGCAAGATGTGTGTTGTGGTGTAATGTAATGCAGCTTGTCTTAATGAAAGAAATATTCATGTTAAAATCTTTGCATGGTAGTGGTGGATACATATTTTCTGTGTTCACTACCACACTTGAGAGCTATCCTGTGGGCTAATATATTTTCTGTGGGTTCCGCAACCAACTCACAGGAATATGTATTTTTGTGATGGTTCTACTTAGACCTACAAAATAATTCATTTTTCTGGCGGTGCGGCCCTACAGGTAAATGAGACTAAGGATAAGAGAGAGGTAACCCTAAAATTCGCCCATCCCCAGAAGACTTCGGCATTTTCTTCGCCACCGCCGCCACTCTCCCATCCTCCGCCCCCTCACTGGATCTCGCCCACGACGGCCTCCGCTCGCTGACTCAAGGGATCATCCACCTCCGCCGCGCCTCCTCGCCCTAACGCCGGGGAGCAGCGTCGGCCACCTCCCTACGCCTCCTCGCCCCGACGTAACGAAGAAGCACCGCCACCTCTCTTGCCCTTGTCAGGTGATGAGCACCATCCCCCGCGCCCCTCATCGTCCGGCTTTGGCCGGATCCCCTCTCCCTTCGTCTTACGTCTGTTCGGGAGGGCGGGCGTGAACCTACCGAGTATGTGGCACAGCTCGGACACTTCAGATCTGGCAGCCCCTGGCACCGGCGGCGCCAGATCCGTCTGCGAGGGCCGAGGAGAGCGCGCGACGCCTCCTTCCCCCTCCTTGATGTCCACTGCCTCATCCTCATCTTGAAAGATAAGCTTTTTTTCTCCACATTCTTGTTATCCTTCCATGGCTTCAGATCCGTGCTCCCCACCGTAGTGGCTATAGATTGGGTTATTGGCTTTCCGATCTAGTGACTAGAGATATTGGGTTAGATTTGCTAAGATCCACTGATGCCTTTGCTTTATTATAGATGATTTTGGTAGTCAAAGCTTTGTCATTAAAATTGTGCATTAGTTCCTATATCTCCTTATTTCTCATCTTATTTTTCATGGCTAATTTAGTCTGTAGCTAGTTGCACAAATGGCTTATTTTCCAACGTTGGATACATTTGACATTAACATGAATTAACCCATGAACTATAATTGGGTAATTTGAGCACACAAAATAGATCACATAATATTATCTGACATTAACATGAAGGTTTAATGTCATATGGCAATGCTGTGAAGGATTAATGTCAAACATTAACATGAATTAATCCATGAACTATAATTGGGTCATTTGAGCACACAAAATAGATCACATAATTGCTAACGTAGCACACATAAACTGCTCCAGTACACAGGACATAAATATAAGTTGGCATAGCACACATAATAGTTCACATGATATTGCATTCAGATAGCTCAATAAGTCACATAAGTTCACATGAATGGCCTTAGTGTGTAGCAATATAGACCTACACATAACAAATAGTCCACATCAGACATCACACACAGGAATGGTTCACACACTGCCGCAAATGGCCCGAGTGTGTGGCAATATAGGCCTACACACAGGGATTGGTCCATTACAAAACCATCAGATATCATAGCTCTCAGACATAAAAGTCATTACAACACATTAACAGTGTTCTAATATTAGATAAATTTAGATATCACAAATTCAAAGCTTTGCAAACTCCCATGGTGAAAGGAGTAGTGGCCCAGGTGTGGCTTTCTTTGGCTTCATCCTCCCTGGTTCTTGAGCTGAAACATTGACAACTGCTTTGCCAGAATTTAACCAGCACTGGAAGAAGCCTGTGAGTATGGCACAATTTGCATGCAAGTCTACAGTTGCTGAACCACCTTCATTTGTGAAAACTTTTGCTGTGGTAGTCAACTTTACCATCTGGATTGACTGCATTGGTACCTGCATTAATAAAAATAGTGTTAGCAGCAAGTGAGTTTGATTGAATGAATGCATTATAAAATATGTTGCACTACTACAGAAACCCTTAAGGGTGCCGGTTGGGAAACCTCTTCGGTGCCGGTTTTCCCAACCGGTACCCAGGAAGCGACACTGATTACCCAGGGTCAAAGGCGGTACCCAGGAAACGACACTGATTACCCAGGGTCAAAGGTGCCGGTTCCAAGACCGGCACCTTTGAGGCGTCCATGAGCCAAAAAAAAAATCGGCTCGATGCATCGAGCTGATGCATTGATCCATCAAGCCGATCCCTCTAATACCCAAATATCCCAAAAATTTCCTCAAATCCATGAACACAAACTAGTCAATAATCCTCAAAAAACAACACATCAACATCACAATCATCAAGAACACATTCAAGAACACTTCATCAATAACAGAACAAGAATCAGATGAAGGAGGAGGGCGCCATTGCCGCCACTGACGTCTCCACCGCCGCCGCCATCATTAGATGGAGAGGACGGCACCACCTCCCGGGCCGTCAGACCACCGCTACCGAGCTGCCGCCGGGCCGTTGCCTCTACCTCCCCTCCCGCCAGATCTGGCAGAGGGGAGGGCACCGCTGCCACGCCGCTTCCCCTCCCGCCACCTCGCCGCTTCCCCTCCCACTGCCACACCACCGTCACCGCACGTGAGAGAGAGAGAGAGAGAGCCAAGTGAAAGAGAGAGGGAGAGAGAGCTGAGAGAGAGAAAGGGGGAAGGGAATGGATAAGGATAGGATGGGAGGAGAGGATAAGATGTGGTCTGTGGAGGCTGGTTCGGCTCGGCTCAAATTAAGGGGTGTCGGTTTTTTAAAAAACCGACACCTATGTCGGTTTTTAATTAACTGACACATATAACATATTAAATGTGCCTGTTTTTTATGATTTTAACCCACGGCGATGGGGAAGGCCTATAGGTGCCTGTTTTAGCACAACCGGCACCTATAGTGCTGACACCTATTTCATG